ATAGACTGCGTTAGGTGCTTCGCGCAGGAAAAAATATTTTGGCATTGAGGCGCATCCAATACCCTTAACAAAATGATCCTCCATTTATTGAATATTTCATTTATTACAAAAAATGTGATAAATGAAGAACCGCTCGACCGATTTTGTGCAAACTTCACATAAACCAGCTACTAAATAGTCCGAACAAAGCCTAAACATTTGGTTTGGCTAGGTGAGCCCGTTCTTGAGTTATAAAATTACAACGAAAAGTGGCATTAATTTTTATATATATAGATAATGAAATTATCTGGATAGTGCAGATACGTTTTAGTCAGCACTGTCTGGATAGTGCAGATCTTGGTGCAGATAAGACTTTAGTCACCACTGACTAGACAGTGTTAATAGATTTTAGTCGGCACTGCACTGTTTGGTCAGTGCAGATAGTTTTCAGTCACACTGTCTGGACAAGACAGTGCAGTAGTCACTCCCTTCAGTCCCTTCTCAAAAATATATTTCTCGGTCTTAATGAGGGCAGCCATGGAAAATAAATGGTTGTCATACTTAATGTGTACATGACTGTATGCAATTGGACTATAAGAAATTATGGTTGGAGTTTAGAATAAGCAAACACAAGTATAGTCCAACAAATACCATTTTAAAGTCACGTGATTTTTCTCTATCCTTGTCGAATACATTTTAAACAGCGGTGATAGTAAAATTGACAAAAAAATTGCTGTCTAATTATTGTTCATAATATTCTTACCTGAAATAGAATCCGTCACTGTCATCAATTAGTTTGTCAAAGTTATTTTCGAAAATAATACAACGAACAAACACAGCTAATAATTTTGACCACATTAACCTTTCTCCAACTCGAAAAGAAGCAAATAGAAAACGGGTACCCAGTTTAAGTTCAGAATGTATTACAACAGACAACAGATGCGACAAAAGTGAGTCTCGCAACAATTGTAAGTATTAAAATTGCCCTCTGATTGGTCAATACTACTTCAGAAACGCGTTTGTAAAATGTTAGTGGGAACATATATTAAAATTCAATAGTAATTAACCACCAGTAGCTTTTTGTAGGTGATATCAACGACATAATCAATGGACATACGTTTTTTGCCACCAGTATCACGTGACTTTAAAATGGTATTTGTCGGACTATATGTATGTACAAACATACTTCCAGACCAGATAGGGGAAAATTGTCTTAGATGTCATGGGATCGATTTTCGAGAAACGTCGATTGTCAAAAACCGTATCACGATATCTTCAATGGTACCATTGATACAGGGCGATTTCCGATTTTCTCCTATTATGAAATATAGCTATAAGTCTTTTATTTATCAATTTTTTTTTGTTTCTGTGAAAATATTTTACAGATACTTTTTTGAGCACAATCCAGTGGCGTACTCAGCTTTTTTCCATTTCGCTCCGATTTCGAGATATCGACCAAAGTTCAACATTTTTAAATGAAACACCCTATGTATTAATAGCTCATTGGATAGCTCTGTTTTTGCTGATTTCAAATAATGATATAAAGTTCGATAGGTTTATCTTTAAGTTTTTGAGAAAAAAAATTATATCTGTTTTTGTCATAAGGACCAATGTGGAGGTTTTTAGGATTTTATGTCTGTAAGGAAAATGAGGAAGGTCTCTTTCTAACTCATTGTTTCTTATGACTGAAACAGATATAATTTTTTTCTCGAAAACTGTTAGAGATAAACCTATCGAACTTTATATCTTTGAAATCAGCAAAAGCAGAGCTATCCAATGAGCTATCAATATATAGGGTGTCCTATTTAAAAAAATCGGACCTTATTCAATATCTCAAAATGGGAGCGAAATAGAAAAAAAACTGAGTACGTCACTGGACTGTGCTCAAAAAAGTATTTCAAAGATGTTTTTACAGAAATAAAAACAATTGATAATCAAGAAACTTATAGCTATTTTTCATAACAGGGAAAAATCGAAAATCGTCCTGTATTAATGGTACCATTGAAGATATCGCGATACGGTTTTTGACAATCGACATTTCTCGAAAATCAATTCCATGATATTTAAGTCAATTTTTCTGTATCTGGTCTGGAAGTATGTTTTTCCTGTCAAAACACTCCAAATTGCAGCACCCTGTACACCTGTATGACAGGTGCCAACTATCACAATGACAAACACTTTCATTTTTCAAATGGAACACCCTGTATATTTTTGGCTAGAATGATAGATTTTTATCTTCTGATTCCAAATATATCATATTATGTTGATATTTGGTTCAGCTGTTTTTACGCTATTCAAGTTTAAAAATGCATTTATACATATTACCCTTAATTTAATCTGTCCTGGTTTCTTATATGAATGATGAGGCTTGCTCATTGCAATTTTAAAATTAAATAGCGCAAAAACAACTGAATCAAATATCAACATATATGGTATATTTGAAATCAGAAGAAAAAAAGCTATCAATCTAGCCAAAAATATACAGGGTGTTCCATTTGAAGAAACAAGTGTTTGTCATTGTGACAGTGGGCACCTGTCATTTGCCCGTTTTGACATTCGCAAAAGATAATAGACACAAAACTCTACAACTTTCATGTTTGAAGTTTTTTTCCACCTCGTATAGCTAGATGTAGGTAGGCGTCAAAATATAAGGAAACATCCTGTACATAGTTCATTGCCATCTATCATCGATAAATGTAGCAAAGTTCTGTTTATAAGAGACAATTGCTCATTCGCTCAATAGGTAGTATTCTACCTACATCCGAGGACTTTGAGGCATTGAAGCTCATACAACATTCTTCATATTGATTTATTTCAGAAACCAGAGCCACAATAAGTTAGAATTTGGCGCTTTTGAACGTTTACTCGAAATTCACTATTCCTCAGTATTCAACCAGTCAATAAGCATTCAGTATTAGTAGAAAATTTCTAAATTGAAATATCTATACCTGCAATTAATACATTCAAACATCTCATATTGAATTGTAAATACATCCGGAAAATATTTTATAATAAATTTGGAATTGACTGCTTATAAACGCGAAATATTCGCCCTCTTCACAAAAGCGCGAAATATTCGCCCTTTGCACAAGAGCTCTTCAAGAGAAATTTTAAAATGCTTGTCGGCATCATCGGGGAACTAAATAATGAATTTTGTTATTCATTCAAGCACAAAAAGACCCAGTTATTTTTGTATTAAAATACAAAATGAAAAAAAAAGTCGATTATCGCTAAGTAAAAACAAAAGTTAGATCCAATTAAAACTTTCCATGGTACAAAATCGATTCCAAACATTTACATTGTGCGTATCCTATACAAACATACAACTATCCTATATCCCTATTATATGCGTGGAGTCAAAGTTCAAAATACATCATTATTAATAGCACACAGCCCACGAGGACGTTATTGTAAGGGAATATTCTGGTAGTAACAAAAGTTATCTGGTATTGTTCGGCTTAGTATTGACCTCAAGGGTCAAATGAATATTAATCGTTTGAAAATTCTTGTAAATGGGATTTTTGATAAAAACGATATGTGTGGATTATTGAGTGGAAACAATTATTTCGACCATAAAATTACCAATGTTAGTGATGCATAAATATACAATAAATTCCGATATAAATAAATACATTTTTCATTTTTAAAATATAATCTTTTAAAGTGGCTATAGACGTCCATCTGGCGGAGTTGAGTGGAAAAATCGCTGCAATTTTATTTATATATTGGTAGCAGGATCCAAGTTTCCAAGTTCATATCAGAAGTCCTTCAAATACGTGGAAATACAGTTTCAATTCCGCCAAATGGCGTTAAGCCATATCGAATTTCTAAGCCTAACATATAATTAACACATGGATATTTAGACTGCTGTAACAGTTAACAGATAATCACATAAATCACTAATCTAGTTTTAAGTTGGTGTCCTAATATAAATTATCAATTTTGGATATGATTCAACAGAAATCTGGACATAATCTGATCAAATCCGAGTGTACAGATCTTTGTTGATTGATTGATTGAGAGTAATCATATTATTTTTGAATAAACATTCGATTTACTATTGGTCAGTTTAGTCAAATGATGTTTTTTTAAAGCACTGTTGGTAGAAATAGGTAACTGTTAGGTTCAAACAAAAAAATATATAAATCTTGAATACAAAAAAAAAAACAAAATTGTTTTCCTCATTTTTAAATAGGTTAACCATTTTGAGCATGGCGCCAAATTGCTACTGTTAAATTTTAAATACTGAATACAAGGCAGGCTCATTATGATACACTTACGAGTGAATTGAAACCTCAGTTGGCAAAATGGTGAAAACCACTGGTTCCAACTACCCAATAAGAATTTAATAAACAGAAACAGAAAAACAATTACAAAAAATATTAATTATCTATAAGTAAAAAAGTTCAAGTAACAAAAACATAATAAAATCAGATGCATATTAAATTTTGATTGACTACCATCTCCAGTAGTATTGAATATTGCATTGCACACTACTTTTCTAAAACCCTGTTTTTTTTTTTCAAATCAGGCATTGCTGTACTAAAAACTGAGTGACACTACAAAAAAAATGAGTAGAAGAAACCTCATGCCATTTCATAGGTGTGTAATGGAAAAATATATAAAAACCATTAAAAATTACTTTAGATAATTACGATAACAATCATTAAAATTGAATCCCTGAGGCAACGCTGTCCCTGATACAAATTAAAATTATGTAATCTTAATTCCCTTATGCAAACCCGGAAATATAAATCTCATCTCTAGGATGACGTGTTTATGAAAATACGATTATTTTAACGATAATATTTACTTTATAGTCTGCCTTTAAGTGCCGACTTATGTTGCATATTACAATGTAGAAAATCAGTTTTTAGTACCAAGTTATATTGCATGAAAAATTTCTCATTGGACATGATATTGAGAGATATACCATCGAATTCTTAATACTTCCCAGTTCTATCTTATTATCACACTTTCCGTTTTATCACTTATTTTATCATGACTAGAAACTTTTTACCCTACATATTTTCACTATTTATAGCCTGTTCATTATTGTTATCCCCCCTCTCGTTGTCGTTCCTCTCAATTACAATGCCCAAACTTTGCTCCACAGATGAAAATCGGGAACTTTGCAAGTTATAAGAATTAGTAGTTCTAGTGCTGGTACTCGGAGTGCTAGTGCTACTGTCACCTTGTGAATGGTACTCCCTAGCCACACACAATCGATGCGCTTTGCACTTATCGTGATGATTAACAATTTCCAAACGAAAATTAGTACTACCTTCAGCAAACGAGGTTCTAATGTCAGGCATTTCACCGCTCCACTTACGACAAAACTTACAGTACATTAAATTTTGTTGCTCATCGTATTGAAGCCAAACATACGAATCAAGCCATGTGGGCCTAAATTTGGAACCTTTACGCCCTATAAACTTAATTGGGGCCATTTGGTGTCCAGACTGTATCACCGAGGACTCTTGCGACGCTGTCTTACCTCCCAGCTCTGGAGGTACCGGTATCGGTACCCTAGAATAATAACTGGGCATCGATTGTAAATTTGTAATTTCACCAGTGGCGAGGGTACCTCGTGTTGCCAAATCAAAATTTAAATAATTGTCGTCCATTGGCGGCGCGTCTAAATACTGGCGTAAGGTGGAATGCCGATGAGGGGGCGCAGTCATCAAGGGTGTTAAAGACAGGCACTCATTGTCTTGATAGGGAGAAGAAGCGAGTTGCGACGACGGAGCTTGGTGTTTCCCCCAAGAGGTAGAAGGTGATAGGAAGGAGGTCTGTGGACAGAGAAAGGGAAGGATATGTGTCAATGGCCTATAGCAGACTGATTTGTTTTGCGAAATTTAGGGGCCAATTTTTTTGGGTGGGATTCCTGTGATGACTATCATTGGAGTAATTATTTTTTGGATGCATATTTTTAGTAGTAGATCTATATTAATTAGATTAGCGATCAGCCATTTTCCTGAATGGTTATTATTTTTTGCAGCTTATTGTGAAAAATAATGTTGGATTTAATTCAAATAGAGTTAGAGGCCCAATTTCAGTTATTGAAAAAACCAATGGATGCCTATAAAACTAGCTGTGAAATCCAAGGGGGAAACCGCAGAGGAATTATGGTGCACACCCTTAGGAATTATTAACGAGTGGTTAAGGGATGATAAATAAAATTAGAGAAATTAACGGAAAGTGGGCCAAATTAGAGCAAGTAGTTGCCAAGTTAGTTGTGAAATTCTGGGAATTTAGAATAATTATGGGAAATTTTTACGTTAATACCAAAAGTCGTACGCGTTTAAGTACGCAAGCCCTCTACTAGTACTTTTTTATATGTTTTAAGGTTGTATCGCTGCTAGTGCTATGCAATACGAGTGATTAGGCTCAGTATGTGAGAGAAAGAAGAAAAATCTAGAGCCCATATACAAAAACTACAGACTGGTTTTAAGATCGTTACTCCTAGTCAGTGAAACAGAATTTATTAACACTTTCAAATGTGTTTTTTTCCTAGACTGAAAATTGCGGATTATTTCTTAAAGCCTTAAATCCACAAAAAAAAAGTTGCAAAAATGCTTTTCCCAGTGGCGGCTCGTCAGGGGAGGCAGTGCCTCCCCTGTAAAAATGCTACAAAATGTATTTTTATATAATTATAACCCCCAAAAAAAAATTACCTACGACGCCAGTGTTGGTAGATCGGTGTACTTGAAATTCCCCACAAGCGCCAAAAATTCCCTAGATTGATGGTATAAAAATCCCTAATTTCAAAATATATTCGATTTTTAGTACGAGGGAATCCCACATTTGAACAGTAAGCATTTAAAACTGTCAACAAGTAGATGAATGTAAAATATGAAAACAACAATGGGACGACATTATGTTCAGTACAAAATATTTGTTTCGTATATTTCTTTATTTGTACGCGTTAGAGAGAGATATTCGATCTATGCAAGCAACCTGCAATAGAGATTGTTTTTCTTTGCTCTCTCTAGTCTCTCTAACACATTGTACTAAGCGGCATAAACAGTGTATTTTCACTATAATATTATTATTTTTTATAAATAAAAAGCATAATATGTATAAAAAATGCTTAATTATCTTCCATTTTGCGCTAAAATATTACGGAAATATAAATTAAAAAATCCCTAAATCTGGCATAAATTTTCTTTTTCCCTAATTACTGAAAATTTCCCTAAATCTAGGGAGAAATTTCCAATATACCATCACTGTACGACGCTCATTTTTTTTGTGCTGTCTCCCTTAAAATAAAAGTCACGGGCCGCCACTAGCTTTTCCACTAAATTTAACCTTAATTTTTCAATGGTGAAATCAAAATTTGAAAAACTCAAAATCACAGGCGGCACCAGATCCATAGGTATTCTGATGAATAAGAAGTTGAAATAAATTGAAAGGAATGAAGGGGATTTGAAAGTAGGAGGCATTTTCGACGGAATTGGTGCACACAATATTGTTCTGCGGCTTAGCCTTCGGTGAAATCCTGAAGTTTTAGTTTTATACAGCGCGTTTGTAAAAAGTTGGGTATTGAAAATTGATTGATGCATCAAAATGTCTTAAGAGGCCTCTCATTTTTTAGGAACATTCTGCAAGAAGATAATATGAAAATTTCTTCAACTTTCAAGGCTCTTACTTTTTAGGGACGGATATTTCAAATTCATAGCCTCTAATACAAGTTGTTTCATGAATGAGGAAGCTAAAACATTCAGCAACTTGAGCTTAATTTTTCTATCTGAAAAGCTCCGCACACTTCTTTATGAGATTCGGTCTATTTTTCTAAAAATTTGATATAATGCTACTTCAACATTCTGATTGAAAGTGTCTATAGGCACAACTTGATCCTAGTGTTCGCAATAAAAAACGGGTTTTAGGGCAGAATAATTTTCAAAATATATTTAGTGAAAGCTATTATTACAGTATTAAACCTAATAATATTCTACTGCACAAATACAAGGTGTCCCAGCCGAAATTGAACCATTTTAATAGCTAATTTATCCTTGCTTGTTTTTAATAACTTAAATTGAATATCACATATATTTTTACATTGCGAAAAAGCTATTTTCTTAGGCTTGTCAATAATGAATAGTTTGTTGCGAGGGGTAAACCACTAGAGGATAATGTAAATTTTTTTGGGAATCACATAGTAATCAATCAGAAATACATGGAAATCACTTGGGAGTCCATGGGAATAACCTGGGAATCGCTAGGAATCTCCTAGGACTCCATGGGAATCACATAGGAATCCATTGGTAATCACTATGAGAATCATGTAGTAATTGCTGGTAATATCATCTCATTTTAACCCAGAAACTGCATATTATACATTTTAAACGATACAGCGTACGGTCGCATATTCATTTTTGCCAACGTAATAGGACCTTCGGCTGCATTCGTGTTCGTTCGAGCACAGCGTAGGCGAATTATGATTGAAGTGGACTAACGTTGGCAGTTTAGAGCCTGCCTGGCGTTCGGGAACATATTCTCTAAATAAATTAAGTTGGAAAGTGGCAATTATTGTTGAAGAAATACCTTTATTAAAAGTTTAAAAATTAATCATTGTGTCTATTCAAAGGCCCTAGAACTTTTTTGGTAGATTTGAGTTAGTTTCGGTTGGTTTGCGTCAGTATGGGTTATTTTTGGTTGGTTTGGGCTAATTTTGGTTAAAAAACCGCACTAGGCGTTGGTCCTTTCTATTTCCTGTTTTCAAGCAAAGAAATGAGAAGTACCTAATTTAAATTAACCCAAAATGACCCGTGCTGGAATTGCGACCCATCTCTGTTTCTGAAGCTGATCAAATAGCGAGAAAATAGCGCATATAAAAAATAGAGCGCATGTATGTATTATTAAATTTTGAATAAATAGGTATTATGAGTTAATGAAGTTGGTTTCTCTGACGGTGTGCGACAGAAACACAGTTCAGCTGAACATTTATTTTACAACAAGAAGAGAAAAAAAGATCTTTTTTCTACTACCGTGGGTAAAGTACTCACTTTACGCACTATTCAGAAGACGTAAAATTTCACTTCACGCACTACCCAAGTAGCACATAATATTGGATAAACATCGTTTTTCAGTTGGGCCAATATTTATTCATTTTTGTTGCTAAATCAACACAGTACCAATATTGGGGCAACGTTAGTTTTACCTATGTGGAAACAATATTTAAAAATAATCTTGTACCAATATTGTTTTCATAGATTAATTAACTTTTCAATAATTTGAATATTGGCCCAAGACTTCTCACTACAATATTGATTTATGAAATATTGGCCAAATATTACATTTTATATTATCGAAACAATATTGTAATATAATATTAATTCAATATTGGCATTCAATTTTTTATTGATATTTAAATTCACTTCAAAAACTTTGTACACCCAATATTTATTTTCAATTTTTTCACAATATTGATACTTTTTGAAAAGCCCAATGAAGAGCCAATATTTACATACTAATTTTTACCAAGGTTGGATTTTCTGAATTGAAAATGTTGGTCCAATATAGGGTATACAATGTGCGCACTTGGTGTGCCGACCAACAAATAGATGGAGACTCTGTCTTCACTTTACCTGTCTTAAACCTGGTTCCGGAATGAAGCCAAAAATTGGTTGTTTTCTCTCTGGCGGGACTTAACCGTGCTGATGAGTTGTGATACAGCGAAAGGGGTCCACGGATGGTCCGGCAGAGAGAAAACACTTCTCAGTCGGTCCTTATAATTGGTCCGTTACCTTAATTAAATATAATATAAAGCCAAGATTTACATACGTCTTCGGGCCAATATTGGTAATTTCAATTGGCTCTATATTGCATAAAGTTCTTGATATGATATTGATTATTTCTTTTTGGGCCAACATTTGGTTACGTTATTGTACCAACGTTGGTATTTGTTTTTGGGTATATATTGACATACGTTCTTGGACAAATATTGCAGAATGTCCACATCTTTTATTTGGCCAACATAGAGAATCTGACTTGGGCCAATAAATCGTAGTTATTGTCCCAATATTGGCCCAACATCGGAGTGCTGCTTGGGTAGTGCGTAAAGTTATTCACTTCACACACTAGTGCGTAAAGTAATGTCAGTGACAGATGTCAACACTGTCAATTTGGCATTTTTCTGGTAAATTACTTCACGCACTAGTGCGTAAAGTTAAAATTCTTCACGCACTAGTGCATAAAGTATTTGTCTAAATTTATTTTTTTACACATATTTGATTGGTAGTAGAAAAAATTTTGTATGCAATACGTGCGTAAAGCACCTTTTTTCACTCATGTGATTGTCGCACTCGCCTTCGACTCGAGCGTCAAAATTCACATTCGTGAAAAAAGGTTCACTTTACACACTTGTTGCATAAATAACTATTGTATTTTGAACTTTTCATATTTTCGATATTTTGCATTTTCGACATTTCTCAATTTCCACCTTTTGCATTTTCTTATTTAATTTTTTTTAGCTCACACTCTATAAAATAATTAGTTTCCATCGGGTACCTAGTTCCAAAGACATCGGTAGTTCTATCTACCACAATATTATGCCATTCATTGTTTTCATGTAAATAAAATTCTTATCTTTTATCTTCCCTTCCTTTGAATGAAAAACATATATCGGACTTAATTATCAATAAAATGCTTGTAACATACAGTCACATGAAGTGCCAACGTC